ATGCTTGGTTGTATCACAGATTCTCAGAAATCTGTCCATGAAATCATGGGGGTCTTCATCGTCTTCTCTGCCAAATGGATTTTTCTCAACCAAGTTTATCAGTGCTGGCTGGATGTCAAAATTATTGGCGTTGACTGGTGGTCTGATGATGCTTGAATTTGGCCTTGTAAACATTGGAGCCAAGATTGACTCCATCAATTCCTCCGCAGGAGGTTGTTGATTATTAGCGGCCATCCCAGGTTCGGCTTTCGGCACTGAACTCGAGGATTCCTCTATCTTTCTTGCTCTGGTTTGCTTCCGATTCCTCTTAGCAGTCTTCTCAATTTTTGGATCAAACTGTAAAAGTTCCTTCTTAGCTTTACCTCGCATAAAAAGAAAGAAATCTTTTAGTAACAAAAATAAAAATAAAAATTCCAATCTCAAAGATCGAAAGTTAAAACTAATATTGGCGTATTCAATCCCCGACAACGGCGCCAAAAACTTGTTGCAAAATCGGCAAGTATACCGATCGTTCCAAGTAATAAACTGATAAGAAAAGTATCGTTCTCACGAGGATTGAGGCACCAAGTACTATTCTAACTATTCCCTTTAATTTGGAACAGAAAAGTTGTTTGTGTTGTGAAATAATTGAGTTTGGAAAATCCAAAATAGAAATTAAAACAATTAAATTTAAAAATAGAATTTAAATAACAATGGACTTTGAATGCATGCAAGAAAAGATCAAGAATGATGAAAAATTTGTAAGAAAATTGTAGCCAGGATACACTTCACCTCCGATCCTCCCATATATTCTTATATTGTATTTTATAAATAATTAATTCGTTTGTTCAGACAATTCATTATTTCCTACAAAATAGTTGAACCCTAATGTCTTAGTGATTTTAACCCTTTAACCCAATTAGAACCCTAATGTCTTAGTGATCCTTCTTGAATTAAGCATTAAGCAAATGAATTATGAGTCTGCAATTTATGTAAGCATATGTCTAGATCATACACAAATTGTTATTCTACCCCTGTCCAGATTAAAATCCCAATATGTCTATTGTAAATTCTAACCCTCAAAGCCTTATAATTTAAAGTGGCCTATTCTAAACAGGATATGGAAAAATTAAATCAGGTAGAATAAAACAAACTAACTAATTAAATTATAAAATATCAATATAGAAAATATAAAAGGATTCACATCGGGTCCGAGATCCCAACTATATAAAGAAATTAGCCAGACAAGTTCATGTCTGACTTAAACAAATAAAAAGAAAAATTGTTCATAAACTATAAAGAAGAAAAGAAGAAGAATAAAAACTCAATGTCTTCAGCCTTCAACTTCCGTGGAATCCTGATCTTCAGCGCGAGTCTCCAAGAATTCTCTCAATTCTCTGATCCTCGCAATTTGCTCCAGCCAAAGATGATTGTTTCTATGAGTCTAAGCCTCTATTTATAGACTTTGTGTCTTGCTCAGATATCTTGATTAAATCTTCGTCGTAAATCTCAGTGTGCTCTTATCTCTGATTTAAAACAGGATTTACTGCTGATTTGTCTGCACTTCCCACGCTACTAGTGTGGTTCCCACGCTGATAGCGTGGGAGTTTTGTTAACAATACTGGAGTTCCACGCAACTAGCGTGGTTCCCACGCTGTGAGCGTGGGTTGCAGGAAAGTATGGCGCTACTAGCGTGAGTGCCACGCTAGTAGCGTGGATGTCTCGGGATGATTTTGAATTCTGGTGTTACTAGCATGAATTCCACGCTAGTAGCATGGATGTATCTGTATGAAATGGCTCCTCTATGCTGTCAGCGCCACACCCACGCTATCAGTGTGGGCCTTCAGTTTGGTATTTTCCCATTGAGCTCCAGTTTGTCTGTTATTCCTACAAAATCAGCATAAAACCAGTTGCACAATCTCTGATTGAGATTTTAACATATCAACAGTAAATATTTCCTTTTTACTTAAGATTAAACAATATTGTTTCTCTTTTTGGCTTGGATTTACCCATATGTGAATTGAATTCTTAGTGAGGGAGTGTTTCAGGAAATTTTCCTTATTCTTGCTCTTAAGAATTTTGTTTAAATTTTTTCTGATGAATTATGAATCTTGTTGATTGATGCATCAATTTTTAGAGTCTGAATGCTCTGTAATCATGTCTCTGATAAATCTTTCCTGTCAAATTCCATGCCGTTAAGGATTCCTACTCCCTATTCTCTTAGTTTTCTTCTAATTGATTGCTGAGGACAACAATATTTAAATCTGGAAATGTTTGATAAACCTTTGGTTTACTATGATTTTAGGCTAAATTATATGAGAAATATGTAGTAGATTGCATGGAATTCAAGGTTTTACAACATATAAATCATGAGATAAGAATTTGAGCTAACATTTTGAGTTTCTTTGCATTTTGAAGGTAAAACCACACTTATTGGTGCTAAAAAGTGATGAAGAAATCATGACAAAGAGTTGTAGCTCAATATGGACCAAAGGAAGCCAAAATAATACAAGTCAAGGGCCAGAATAGGATGCTCAAGCGCAGAAATGGACGCTCGAGCGTGTTTAAGTAGGAAAAATAGCTAAATTGAGCAATCCAGGACGCTCAAGCGCCCATTAGCGCGCTCAAGCGCCCAAACCTGCAAGATTTCACCTTTGAGGAGCATGCTCGAGCGCCCAGTTGGCCGCTCGAGTGCGTCCAGCCAGGCAGAATTCCCAAATTGAGGCACATAAGCACGCTCAAGCGCCCAGTAGTGCGCTTGAGCGCCCAAATACGAACCCAATCAGCCCAAGATTTGATTTGATTTGCCAATTGATACAGATTTGTAATATTTGGAATGAAAGCGGAAACAAATCAATCCTGATTTTTTAATTGATAGAGATTTATGGGAGATTTGATGGAGAATTAAAAAGATATGGCTTCAATGGTTATAAATAGGGAGCTGAGGGTCAACCAATTGATGAATCCAGAGCATTACACAGAGACTTGAAGGAGGAATCCTGTTGCAGAGCGTTGAAGCACTGAGGAACCAAGTCAACATCACACCAATGGAGGCTTAGGTTTCTCTTTTCTTTACTATTATTTTTCAATTCAGTATGCTAGGCTAGAATTTTATGTAGTTAGGGGTAGATGAAACCTAATTGACTCTTTATGTTTATGAATTAAATTGTCTCCAGATTCTTTTCTTTTTATAATTGAATAAATTTATCTGTCTTTAATGCTTTCTATGAGTTTGCTCCTTATAGATTGATTTAGGGGAATTGTATGACAATAGGGATGTTGGTGCATGAACCCTGATTTGATAAATTTATCACAATCCTTGTGATCTAGGGATAGACATAGGGCAATTGTGCAATCTTTAAATTCTTGATCTTAATGCATGTTTTCTTGGGGAATAATCAGGGAACTAGAGTTCTTTCAAGATCACATAGATTTAGGATAACAAGGAATTGAGCTCTGATTAACTTCGAAAGAATTGATTAGCATTATATTAAGAAAAGATTCTTAACAGCTTAATTCATAGCATATAGAGAAAATTGGGGGAAGTCGAAACCCTAACTACGCTTGTTTTTAATCTTTAATCAATCATCATCTTTTCCAATTGTCATTTTAATTCTGAATTTTTAAATTGCATGTTATTGCTTGTTTCAATTTCAATTCTCTCAAATCCAATTCTTGATTGTCCAACTAAACCGCGATTAGCGAACTAGTGTTTGAAAATTTGATCCTCGTGGGAACGATCTCGTACTCCGGTATAACTTTATTACGTAACGACCGGTGCACTTGCCAAGTCGCAACAATGCACGAAAATCAACGGTTAAGATGTGGTGTAAGATGATCTGATCTATATATATATATATATATATATATATATATATATATATATATACATATATATATATGGGATAAGATCAACTTACACCGGTGTAAGAATAATAAGTCTTACACCAAATCTTAACCGTTGATTTTCGTGCATCTAACGGTTAAAATTTATGGGGAATTAAAAATTAATTAATGAGTGAGACCAAATAAATCTTAACCGTTAGATGCAGAAAATCAATGGTTAAGATTGAGTGTAAGACTTCTAACTTTTACACTGGTGTAAGAATATCCTGCCCCTATATATATATATATATATATATATATATATATATATAGGATCGGATCATATATATATAGAATCGAATTATGTGGTTGAAGTGAGTCAGAATTTAGACAAAGGGGTGTCTGTATATATATATATATATATATATATATATATATATATATATATATATATATATATATATATATATATATATATATATATATATATATATGAGGTAGGATCCTTTGACACCGGTGTCAAATTTGAAATTTAACACCTCATATGAGAGCCGTTAGATCAAAAAATATCAACGACTTTGATTTGTAAGCATGTGAGACCATTGATATTTTTTGATCTAACGGCTCTCATATGAGGTGTCAAATTTCAAATTTGACACCGGTGTCAAAGGATCCTACCTATATATATATATATATATATATATATATATATATATATATATATATATATGGGCCTAGTGCCACAAGAGACTGGCCTATATTAATTCGATCCAAGTACTCAACGATTGATGATAGCGATAAGAAAGCATACTTCTTAAACTCCTAGGTGAAGAAACCCTCGTACTAAGAGAGTCACATATATAAGAACCCATAGATGCGAAGCGTTCATGAAATTAATTCCAACCCTGAAACGTTTTTAATCAAATGCAAGTCTTTCTCTCCTACTCGTACCAATACCAAGGGAAGAGTAATAGAATCGGTTCTCTTCAAAGCGTAAAGTTGCATAACTACAACCTAACGAATTATTATATTCTTGCCACTAGTCCAAGGGAAGAAGAAAAGCACCAAAAAAGTTGAAATACTAATTAATAATATTAAAGCAAACAACTTATATATATATATATTGGTGTTCGGACAGGTATTGATATCAAAGCAAATTACTACCTTAAAAATCAAAATATATACACCTGAGAATTATGGGACTAGTATTTGGGCGCTTTATGGGTTTTTGCCGAAGAACCAAGTCCCATGAAATTGTCATTGTCTCCTCAGATTCCTCTCCTCAGCATACCCACAAACAATCTAGGAAAACCCAACAAATGCCAACTCCACCTCCTCCTCCTCCTCCTCGTCGTACCAAACATACCCAATCTTCACAAATACGACCAATTTTAGGAAAACCGTACGTTAACATAAACTTGATGTACGAGATGAAGAAAGAACTAGGAAGAGGCCAATCGGGTGTCACTTATCTATGTACTGAGAAAACGACAGGAAGAGAGTATGCGTGCAAATCTATTCCAAGGGAGAAGCTATTGAGCCAACATGAAATTGATGATGTTAGAAGAGAGGTTATGATTCAGCAACATCTTTCAGGGCAACCCAACATAGTGGAATTCAGGGGAGCTTTTGAGGATAGGCAGAACGTGCACCTAGTGATGGAGTTGTGTAGTGGGGGTGAACTCTTTGACCGCATTATGGCCAAAGGGAGTTACTCTGAGCGTGAAGCAGCCATAGTTATGCGGCAAGTTGTGAATGTGGTTCACGTGTGCCATTTCATGGGTGTAATGCATCGAGATCTCAAGCCAGAGAATTTCTTGTTGGCTACCAAGGACGAGAATGCTGCAGTTAAAGCCACTGATTTTGGACTCTCCATTTTCTTTGAGGAAGGTTAGTACTTTGTTGCTTGCTCAATGTCTTTCCCTTATTCCTTCTATTTTGTTTCCTTCCCATAATTACTTGCATTATCATCTTTTTTCTTTTATTTTTCCCCCCTTAATCTCTAGTTCATCATTGCGAGTTGGGGGAAAGTACTGGGGGTCTGGGGTTATGCTATGCTAATTTTAACATCCATATCAATCATCGAAAAATATTATATAAAATTATTAATGTGAATTCACATATCAACTTAAATTGGTTTTGAAGTCCCCATGGATTTGATTAATCTGATTTTGGATTTGGCCTTTCTATCTTCTCCAAAAATTGTAACTTTCAGGATTCCAACCATCTATCATTTAATAGGTCAAATCCTGAAATTTAATTGAATCATCACTAGACTAATAACTTTTGGTTTGATGTGTTTTCTTTTAGCCTGTGCTAACTTTTCGGTCAATCATGGCCTAGATGTAATAATTTTGGTGCTAACTTACATATTTTTAAACAGACCTTGAATGCATGATAATAAAGGCGAAATACTAACCCATAACATTCTTAATATGTCCCGAAGAATATGGGATTCTTGGAATCCTAATTAGACATTGAAGCCCCCCTTCAGTGAAGTTGGACTTCTTCTTCTTTTTTTTAAGCATAGTTGGACTTTTTTAACTCAGCAAAAAGAGTACATTTGAATAAGTTTTAACCAAAATATTTAGAGAAATTTTTTTTTAAAAAAAAAAAAAACTTATCTAATATACATTTTTTAGACATGTCTTTCAATTAAAAATATTAAAAAATATAAACAAAGAAATATACTGAATCAGATGTATGGTGCTTTTCTGGAAAAAGAATCTGGGTTTAAATGATTACCTTTTATCTTAAAAAATTTAAGAAAAAATATTAGTAGAATACTCCCTTTAAATAATGAGGATTGTATTGGTCCTTTTACATGACAAATTGCTTCCATCCTGCACATACAAAAACCATCACCATCAACTTTTTATTTTTTTTCTGTTTTTTGAAACTCTTGTGGGCCCATGCTTTTTTGTTAGTGCAGGACATAACAAACTTATTCCCCTTAAATAATACAATAATCACATACTTTTAAAGTAATTATTGTATAGTAAAAGAAAAAGATTATATTTATAACCTATTTTCGTTTATAACTTTTTACAATTAAATTTTAGGGTTTATTTTTTCTGCAGATAACTTATCTGCAGTAAGTCCAATACAACGTCATTTTGGAACGAAAATCATGGTATTTTTGTAATTTTAATTTTTTTCAGGATTACTATAGTCTTTATAATTATTTTTAAATATTTCAATCTCAAAACGACGTTGTTTTAGGAGTAATGCAGATAACTTATATGCATTAACTGCAGAAATATTTTTCTATAAATTTTAATAGTTGATTCCGTCAATCTGACAGTTATAATTATTAGAAATTAATAATTAATTAATAAATATGACTAAATAAATTTAAATTAACGAAAATCAACGGCTAAAATTCAGTTGTAAGCGAAAAAAAATTGTAAATATAACCTCCCTCGTATAAAAAGAAAAATAAAATAAAATAAAGTTTGAGAAAAAAGGACGATGCGTTAAATATCTTGCATGATTTTTTTGCTAATATTTATTTGTAAGGAATCTACGTATTTTTCTCTTTATAAAATATTTAAAAAATGATTTTATTTCAATAATTATGGACAAAAGTCGAGTATTTTTTTTTTTTGGTAGGTGAGTATCTTTTTTCTATTACGAATAGAATATATTGATTAGGTGTAAATGGGTCAGGTAGCCTAATAAAGGCCTATGGCCCAGCTTAGATTTGATCTATTATATATAATCAAATAAAATAGGCTTAAGCTTTTAAAAAAGCAGGTCATAGACTTTCTTTTACATGTCGGGCTTATAAGTCTACAGATCATCTATATCATTTTATTTATTTTAAATAAAATAAATAAAATTATTATTCTTTGAATGATAAAGTAATATCATTTTAATTATTAGATGCCTAATAGATTTAAACAAGCCTAGGGCAAGATTTTTGTTTTTTAAATATTAGTTAGGTCAGAATTATAATTTGGGCCTATACAAGACTAATAGACCAAGCCAGATCTAAAGTATTTTACATAAATATACCCTATTTAAGGCAAATCTAACTCAACCCAATCCATTTACACCCCTAACAAAATGCACTACAAAACTTAGGATACATGTTGATTGCGAAACGCATCATAGATAGCTCATAGATAGCTCCGCGTCATAATTCTCCGTGTCTAGACACGCAGGAAGTGAATCGTTCAACTTCACAACTTGTTTATAGTTCGACTATTAGATATAACTAAGGGTGCTAAACGAAACAGAGGCATTTGGCCCGGCTCATAAAAACTTTGATTTACATGTCTAAAATTGATTGTTGGAACCAGGCTTGGACTTATATAAAAACTCATTTAGTAAAAAGGCTTTAGACTCCAATTGAAAAGTTCGGCCTTAGAGCCTATCAGGCTGACCTAGTATACTAACTTTTGTTTTTATTTTATAGTTTTTTTATTACTCATAATAGTCATTTCTCTCTCCTCAACTCATTTTATCTCATTTTATTAGTTAAACAATCTTTTTGAAAGATTTTTTTCTAAATTATATTGTTTGGATATACATTGAATTTATAAATCTTTATGAAATTATTAGTATTGTTGATCGTATATTCTTTTTGGATAAATTTTTATTGTCTTATTATTTTTTAATAGGCTAACAGGCTAAACTAGGCTTTTATTTTTTGTAAATAAGACAAGCCACATGCTGATAATTATATTCATAACAAGTAACAGGCTAGGTCACACTGATACATTTAAACTCAGGCTTAGCCTTTTAAAACCAAAGCTCGACTTGACTCGGCTCGTTAACACCCCTAGATATAACTTTATCTCTTGCATATATAATATGGGTTTTATTAATGTTATGTAACATAATTTAAGTGTTGTTTCCAACACAGACAATAAAAGGAAGAGAGAAAGTGGAATGATGAAAGAGAAAGAAAAACATGTGGACCCCACCTCTTTAATGTGTGTGTAAGAAAGTGAAGTTATATTATGTTATATGATAAACATAAAACCCATATAATATAGTGGCAGATCTATAATATTTAATAATAGGGGTGCAAATAAAATTTTAGATATTATTAAAATTGGTAGGAAACACTAACTATTATAAATAATACTTATATAGTTAGTGTCTCCTATCAATTTTAATAAGGGGTAGATTATGTTTACAACTTTTTTTGTTTACAACTCTTACAACTTCAATTATGTTCTCCTGGGAATACACTCTTCAGTAGTGTACTCCCGAGAGAACATAGTTGAGGTTGTAAGAGTTATAAACAAAAAAAATTGTAAACGTAACCTCCCCTTTTAATAATACTTAAAATTTTAAAATTTTATTTTTATTCTGTTACGAAAAAATTTACATCCCAACTGGTATAAACGACCAATAAGATCAAACGAAACTTCAAATGACGCATTAAGCAACGAGAATCCTTCCTAGCACTAAAATTACGAAACTGCCTCCCTCTCTCTCTCTTGCAAAGCGTAGAGCATACTGATGCAAAAGGGGAGGAGTGATGCTTTTTGCAAGGTAAGGACTAATGACCACCCCAAGCTAACCCAAGGGAAAAGCAAAGCATAAATGGAAAGTGGCAGCATAGTTAAGTTTATACAAATATTTTAATCCCTGAAGCTGAAATTCCGCATAATTCACAATAATCTCTCCACAAACATTCCACATGGGGCACTGCTTCAGCAAACACCACAGCAACAGAGTACCAATCACCTATGACTCTGATTCACCACCCGGTCCTTACCATCAATTGCCACATAAAACCCAACAACAACCTCAACCTCGTTAACCTTATAAAGAATCACTTCACTCAGAAACTTTATGTTGGGGTGAGGACATTTTTAAAACTTTATATTATTCTTTAAATCACCTTTCATACAAGAATCTTTTGGGTTTGAAACGTGAGAATATTACACATGGCCCAATTTTTTGTTTATCTTGTTCTTATTTTAATTCCATTAGAAAGTTGAGATGGTGAAGATCGAATTTGTGATCTTTTGATCAAGAAAGCTATAATACCATGTAAATAATTACTTTAACTCAAAATCTTAAGATATTGGGTGAGGGTTTTTCTAATGGTTTGAAGGGTGGATAATGCACATGCCCACTTAACTATGCTAGAAAATTCTACAAAAGAAAGTGGGGGGATATGATCGAAACCGAGGATCTGATACCACATAAAAAATCATTTCAATCATAAACCTTAAGGTCTTTTTAATAGTTTATATTATTTTCAAACATCTCTATTTCAAACTCCATCATTATCGTCATTGGAAATGGATCATCTCATGTGAAAAAAAATATATGATATGGTCATGTGGGAAGATCACAATCATACAAAAGTTAATCAACGGTTATGATTTCGCAACTACTTATTTTAACATTTTTTTCTCTCTCCTCCTTTATTACTATTGATCCACCTTTGTATGATTATGATTCTTCACATGACATGGTCATGTAAATTTTGACATTAGAAGATCCAGATTCATCGTCATTATTATCCGTTGCTCAATCTATATTAGGCAAACCATACATTGATATTAAGGTTCTTGTCACTCTTGAGAAGGAACTTGGAAGGGGTCAATTTGCTATCACTTATCTTAGCATAGAGAAGGCCACAAAACGAAAGTATGCTTGTAAATCCATTCCAAGGAGAAAGCTAACTACAAAGAAGGAAATTGAGGATGTTAGGAGGGAAATTATGATCCTTCAGCACCTAACGGGACAACCCAACATCGTTGAGTTCAAGGGTGCTTATGAGGATAAGCAAAGTGTGTATTTGGTGATGGAGTTGTGTCAGGGTGGTGAGATTTTTTTATCAACAGCTTCTTTTACAGTCTGTTCAAATCGTCCTTTCAGTTCAAGCTCACGTTCAGATTTTTTCTGGGCTTTTCCAACAT